TCGTCAATTATCACGATTTCAACAATCTCAGGAATTCCACTACTATATCCCACTTATTTTGGGAAGATGCGAAAAATCAGAATTATTTATCTCTTTTGCTGTTCTTATTGGACAACATTTTTAAAAGCGTCATCCAAGATATACCGGCATTTCTCTTTTCCAGAAGCATGATCCCTGAAGTACTTGTATTCAAACACAGGCTTAGGCCCGCTGTTTTTTTTTTTTAAATTTCGGAAAGAACCTCCCATTTTTTGTGTCTGCATCTCTAACTACAAAGTGCCTCATCATTTAAAAATTTCCTTGTGTGTACAGGGATACTGTTGAGCGCTTGTATCTTTTTTCCAATCCATGCATCACCGTGACAAAGTCCTGGAGGTTTCAGTCAAACAGACGAGTGGATGAAGCCGAATTGGCTCGTCCGCAGTACTTTCTCTGTCGGCAAGGCAGAATTTCTTGATTTTTCACTGAGCAGCAACAATCGTATGCCATCAATGCACCACCGTCCTCCCTGAAATTTCGAACAACGCGCTGATCCTTTCTTCAACTACATCGATCCATTTACCAGGTACCAGTCAATTCTGGGCAAGTTTTACGGGGCTTCGGAATCTGATATCCTGTTTGACATTTTCACGACACTTTTCGTCGTCTATCACATCCATGGCAAGCCAAATTCACAAAAATAAGTTATACATAGTTTTACAGTTGACATACTATAGTTTACAAACCGTAAACTATACCGAGTAGTTAACATTCTTTAACTATAGTTTTCATCTCTAAAACTACATTTAACGGTTGTTAACTAAGGTTACGAGTTGTAAACCATAGTTTACAAATCATGAAACTGTATTTATCAGATGATCTATGTTTTGCAATAGCAAATGATTGTTTTCAATGTTAAGTACAGTTTACGGTTTTGAAACATAGATTATCGCCTTAACTATGGTTTACAGATGTAAAATATAAATTAACGTTGTAAAATATAGTTTACACTCCGTAAACTATAGTTTACAAATGATAAACCTAGTTTATCAACTGTGAAACTATGTTTAGCTCATTTTTTGTGAATTTGGCGTGCCATACACATCAGTTTCCATGAATTTTTTTTTGACAGGGTGTTGGAATTCTTCAAGATTTTCTACTCTGTTACGAAAGTGCCTACTCGTTCTTTTTTCCGTGAAGAGACTGTAATGCAATAACTAATTTTATGCTATTGTCATTACGATTGAAATAAACACATACTCACATTCAATATGGAGTTAAAACATGTGACTCTGATGGACAATTCTAAAATATTTTCACATTCATGAAACCAGTTTCTTTTTGCTCATCTGAGCTTTTCTGATCAAAATTTGTCCGTTGTCTGTCCTAATTTATTGTGTACATAATGCAAGAACAGGTGTATTACTAGTATAATGCAGGGGAAATGTGCAGATCTGAGATGGTGTTATTTGGTAATGGGGGCACAAGAACAAGGTTCACAGTGGGCCTCTTTTGGCCTTGTGAATTTCTGAATAATCAATACTGTTCATTTTTAGTTGAAAATATGTTAAATTTTACTTGGACCCTTGGTGACTTTATATCAAATAAAAATGACGTAATTTTTAGCTCACCTGAGCCAAAGGCTCAAGTGAGCTTTTCTAATCACATTTTGTCCGGCGTCCGTCTGGCTGTCCATCTGTCTGTAAACTTTTCACACTTTCGACTTCTTCTCAAGAACCGCTGGGTCAATTTCAACCAAACTTGCCACAAAGCATCCTTGGGTGAAGGAGATTCAAGTTTGTTCAAATGAAGGGCCAAGCCCTCATTCAAGGGGAGATAATTGGGAATTAATGAAAATTTGGTGACATGTTTTAAAATCTTCTTCTCAAGAACCACTGTGCCAGGAAAGATTAAACTTATGGGGAAACATCCTCTGGTAGTGTAGATTCAAATTTGTTCAAATCATGACCCCAGGGGGTAGGGCGGGGGCCAAAATGGCCGACCAAAGTTTTACATAGAAATATATAGGAAAATTCTTTAAAAATCTTCTCAAGAATAACAAAGCCATAATTGATCAAATTTATATGGAAGCATCCTCAGGTATGTAGATTCAAATTTGTTCAAATCATGACCCCCAGGGGTAGGGCCGGGGCCAAAATGGCAGACCAAAGTTTTACATAGAAATATTTAAGAAAATTCTTTAAAAATCATCTTCTAGAGAATAACAAATCAATAATTAATTATATCTATATGGAAGCATCCTCAGGTAGTGTAGATTCAAGTTTGTTGAAATCATGACCCCTGGGGGTAGGGCGGGGGCCAAAGTGGCCGACCAAAGTTTTACATAGAAATACATAGGAAAATTCTTTTTAAAATCCTCTTCTCAAGAAAAACAAAGCCATAATTGATCATATTTATATAAGAGTATCCTCAGCTTGTGTAGATCCAAATTTGTTTAAATCATGACCCCCGGGGGTAGGGCGGGGCCACAATGGCCGACCAAAGCTTTACATAGACATATATAGGAAAATTCTTTAAAAATCCTCTTCTCAAGAATAGCAAAGCCATGATTGGTCATGGGACTACTTGATTTAAACTTTTCATTAATAAACCAATTTCTACTTTTCCTTAGCCACAGTGCTCAGGTGAGCGATGTGGCCCATGGGCCTCTTGTGATCAATGTTTATATTTGGTCGTACTAAGCATGGGCAATATATTTTACTTGGCTAACGACAGAGGGATATGTTAAAATATAAGTCCCCGAAAAGCAAAAACTATACATATAATCGCAGAAAAGCAGTATAATTTGTTGCGGAAAAGCAGATTTTTTTAATGGAAAATCAATGTCGTTTTGAGATAAGTAGAACTGTGACGGTAATGTTTTAAAATGAAGTATCAAAGAAAAAAAGAATGTTATAATTGAGAGTTATTAATTTTATCACTTTTATATTTGTCGCAAAAAAGGCATTTTGCTCGCCTTGATCGCCCATCTTACATAGCTATTTTTTTCCCAGATATTCTCTCTATTCCGTCTGAGCCCATTTTAAATTCAACTCATTTCGACGCGTATACGAAACAGAGCGGAATATAACGTATTCATCCCTGGGTATTTTAATTTTAAAAAATTATAATTTTTCTACTAACACTGTAGGCACGTAGCATCAGAGGGTACGTGGAAGTGGACAGAGGGATCTGGCCCCTCCGTATTTTTTCCAAATATAACTTTTTACCATTGAAAATGCTCTTTAAAAGCTAGGCTGGTCCTCCTCTTTTTCTTTCTTGCAATATACTAGTAGTAAAAATTTGTTACTGAAAGGTAAAGTCGATTTTTTCTCTCTGACTGCCCCCTTTCAAAAACGATGCTACGTCCTTGTACTAATTACTTGCTCAATGAAATACATGTCTCAAATTAGCAATCTTTGAAATGCATCTATCGCTCTTTCGATCATTCATGCTCATTTTAAACCCCCGCTTGAAAAGTGAGAGGATATACTGTAATCAGTATGTCCGTCCGTCCGTCTGTCTGTTACGCTTTGGGGTACCCCTCTCTTATCCTCAACTCCTCTCATACCACTGAGCGAAATTTGATGAAACTTTCACAGAATCTTTATCACGTATTGTGCACCTCCTATTTTACTTTATGATCCGATACATATTTTGGGTTTCCCGGCCACAGCAAAACATGGACTTTGCCATATTAACCATATGGGAGGCGGGGGGTATCATTTAGTGAGCTCATTGTTCACAGTTCCTCGATTATTTTTCTTTTATTGTTTTCTTTTATTCATTGATTCCTTCATTTTCTATTACTTGTTAATTTCATTTTATATTACATTTATTACTGTTTTGTCATACGATGCGATGAATTAACCACCCTCGAAGTATTCTAATTTAAGGAGGAATGCCACACCAACTTTTTATTTTATAGATCTCTGAGTCAACCGTTTTTAAACAATGGTTTCAGCATTGAAAGGTCGACATTAGCTTTAAATTATTTTATTATTTTTTTTGTTGTATTTTTTCAAAGAAAATTTAAAAAAAATATTTACATCCAAATTAGATGCTTTCGTGTAAAAATTTTGCTGTAAATGAATGCATCACATGAATACCTAATAAAATATGTAATGAAAAGTTCTTAAAAAATTTAAATAAAAAATTATTTATGAAAATTAAACACATAATTTGTGAATATTTTTTAAACTTGTGGTTCAGTCACAACTGGGGAGAACATGTTCGTTAATCATATTTATAAAAGAAATTGAAACGAAATAGCCAAATTTTAGAGAAATTATTTTTTTTTTATTTTGGCCAATCCCGATCAAAATTAAACCGATCCCAACCATAAATGTAAAATTATTGGAAATAAATAACATTTCCCCAAGAACACAAGTCTGATTAGGTGTAATAAGGGTTAAAACATTATTGAACCTGACAATAAAATAGACTTCTTCATTGTAAATACACGAAGAGGCAATAAATTAGCATTTTATTCATTTTGTGTTAATTTTGATCGGGATCAGTTTAATTTTGATCGGTTTAGGTTCAAATATTAAAAAAATTTATTTCTCACAAGTTTCTCAATTTCGTTTCAATTTCTTTTTGAAAATATGATTAATAACCATGTTGTCCTCAGTTGTGACTAGTTTTGTGGTGTTTTTAACCATAAGTTTAAAAAATATTCACAAATAATGTGCTTTATTTTCATTAATTATTTTTATAGAAAAAACTTAAAAAGTCTAACCAGCCTTTCATTACATTTTTTTATTAGATATTCATATGATGCATTCATTAACAGCAAACTTAAAACTCGAGAACAACTTATTTGGATATAAATAATTTTTTTTCATTTTCTTTGAATAAGTACAAAAAATCGGTCTTTCAATGCTGTAGTAACTAGTCAAGCAATTCAATACTGCGCAAGAGATAGTGCAGACATATTGAAGTGGGGGGGGGGGGTGATCCTGCGGATCCTCAACTCAAATGTAAAACCCGTCCTATTGTACGGTGCAGAGACATGGAGGATGACTAAAGCTACCCTGCAGAAGATCCAGACATTTTATAACACCTGTCTCAGGCGCATATTCAACATCCGATGGCCTGAAAGGATCTCAAATGAAGAACTATGGAAAAGAGCAGGACAGGAACCCATGGACATACAAATAAGACAGAGGAAGTGGGGCTGGATTGGACACACATTAAGGAAGTCACCATCCAGCATCACACGCCAGGCCCTGACTTGGAACCCACAAGGCAAAAGAAAAAGAGGACGTCCTAGAAACTCCTGGAGGCGGGACTCGGAGTCGGAGCTAAAGACGCAGGATATGACCTGGCATGATGCAGCTAGAGCAGCTCAGAATCGTGTTCGTTGGAGGACTGTTGTTGATGGCCTATGTTCCTCACGGAACGAAATGCCTAAGTAAGTAAGTAAGTAGTGATTCATATCTTTTCAAGATAATACTATATCAACAAGTAGGGGGGGGGGTAATTGAAAGGGGGCGGACTAAACCAACAAAAAAATGTAACCCCAATTTTCAATGCCAAATTATGTATATATTTGCAAAAAAAGTCTGGGGGGGAGAGGGCTAAGCCAGAGAAGCATCCTCCCCTCTCCGGTTCCGACGCCTATGATTCAGACAGTTTCAGGCACGTAGCATCGTTTTTGAAAGTAGGGGACCAGCCAGACAATTTTTTTTACTTACCTGGAAAACTTGACAAGCAAAAACAAGTGTATACTGACAAAACGTCAGAAATACTCAAGCTATAGAAAGTCAATTAGGAAGTGTCATTAATATCCTAAAATGGTATAAGATGAGGGCTATTGAGTTCAATCTTCTGTTGAATTAACTACATGTACATGAAACAAAATTCATATATTGAATTTAATTAGCAGAAATATAATTAACCGTACTACTTTTTAGGATGAATTACGTAACACACTTTCAGCCTTCAGGAATATTTTACAGAGCCTAGTAACGTTGCCGTTTTTTATGTAGACATTTAGTACACTTCAAACTATATACGTTTTTTGTATTTTTTGCTTAATGACTTACATCACATTCAATATATACATTAATCTAAATAGTTTGCTACAAGCCTGTAGAAAAGTTTTTCAAAGTGGAAGGGGGGGGGGGGGCTCCAGGCTCCAAAAAATTCACGTGACTACAGGTTCATCCATCGTTGCAATTAAACCACGGCCAAAATGTACGATCCTCTCCTACTCCGGACGGTGGCTTGAGACGATGGGGTTCTTCTAGCTGAGCGGCATGTCCAATACATATTCCGTACGAATCCAAAAGAAGTTATTATAATATAGATTTTGTGCTATTATTTTACTGTCACTCAAAGTACACATCATTTGCAGGCCCGTGAAAAGCACTTTCAGTTTGGGGGTACAGCCATACATTTTCTGGCCATGCATTGTAGAATTTGTCAACGATGGGGTAACCTGCGTCACTTTTCAGAGTCTGCATTGGACTCGTCCAAAGATGCTTTGTCGGCGACTGTAAAAAGTTTACCTGAGATTCCTACGCAAAAGAAAGAGAGAAATCTCTGTATAGAAACTGTTGCGGCTGCAGAGCTTCACTCATTGTTCATTCAACATAAAATAGAATCCGATATTTTAGTATAAAGACGTTTTCAAGATAAGCTTCATTTTTGTCTCTAGAAATATTTCTATCTACAAAAATAATATATTTTTGTGTTTTTAAACTGAGTAAATCGATGACCTAGCATCGTTTTATTATCGTTTTACAAACAGCTTGACAGTTTGCTTGATAGGGCGTGTTAAAATTTTGTGAGCTGATTATCATTTTACTCATCGATTGGATGTTTGATTTCTGATCAGTGGAATCAATAATACTTTGCATATGAAACACAGAACCCAACAATACCACTGATAATATATTGACCAATCGTATTGAATGAGTATGCAGTAAACAACAATTACACGAGGACGGACAATTTAAGCAAGTTTTACAATCTATAATGATGATATTTATAGCTACATAGTACAACACTAGCAGGGTAGTCTTACTAATTTTATTCTTTAAATTCTCCTATACGTATTTCCTGTCAAATCACAACAAAAACGGGCTTTGACAGACCACGTGTTGCTGGTGAGTAACAAATGCCGCACTGGTAAACAATCATTCATTCCGATTGGCCAGTATTATCAGGATATTGTTGTATTCTGAGTTTCATATGCAAATTAGTATTGATTCCATTGAAATCGAACATCCAATTGATGAGCAAAATGAAATCAGCACACAAAATTTTAGCACGTCCTGTCAAGCAAACTGTCACGCTGTTAGTAAAATGATAATACAATGAAGCGCATTGAAGTGGTAAAATTTTCCGTTTGGATGGAACGTTTTGAGCTATCTTACAATGAAGCGCATTGAAGTGGTAAAATTCTCCGTTTGGATGGAACGTTTTGAGCTACCTTTATTATCGTTTTAAGAACAGCTTGACACTTTGCTATGTGGGGCGTGCTAAAAAGTTTGTAAGCTGATTATCATATTACTCATCGATTGGCTGTTCGATTTCATTGAGATGAATGGTAATTTGCATATCAAACACAGAATCCAGGAGCGCACTGACCAATGATATTCCATATTTGTTTACTGCTACATTTTTGTGATGTAAATATAAACACGTGGTCAATCTAAACTCGGTTTGCTTGATTTTTCTTACCATGTACAATTGTCATAACAATTTAAAACAAGATATGAAAGTCAGAAAATTAACTTGACATTTATTGATTAATAATTCACCTAAACAATTAAACATCTATATACTCTGTTGCTCGAAAAAATGACAATGTGTCGTGAACACTAATTTCGCTGAATGCAGTGTATAATGCAACCTTAATGTTCTGTGATAAAAGTGAGACGTATTTTTCTGTTTTCAATAAAATTTTAACTTTTCTGAAGCACAATTCGGCTGGGTTTAAATCAGGCGAATATGTTGGTAGGAATATGTATTGAACACCAATTGTAGGTAGCCAATTCCTCAAAACCACCTCAGACATATTATGATGTGTAAGTGCGTTGTCCACTATAAAGTTGTCTCCTCTTTGCAGAACTTTTTCTCCTTCGTCGGTGTAACTATTTCCTGCCTCCCCTAAGAAATGCAAAAATTCAATAGAATTCGAGGAACCCTCAACGATTTTTACAAATTTGACCCCTGATACACCAACTATGAGGCTGATAGTAAAATGATTTTTCGCATTAAATTTAGAAACAGCAACACATGGGGTCCCCTTTGCCGAATGACCATATACTTTGTTTCCATCGCAAACAACAAATCCCATTTCATCCATAAATTTAAGAGCAAACGGGTCTTCGTTGTTAACATATTGCAGAAATCTCTGAGTGTATTGTAAATTTGGAAGAGTAAATCTGTTACCATGACAGAATGTGACTCGTTTAAGTGTCATATTAAGATCTTTTCTGATTATATTTGACACAGTAGGCACACTTATATTTCGAAGTGTATTTGAGTACTGTAAGACGTTATCTTTGATTGATTTTAGCGACATTGTTGGATTAACAGTTTTCAAAATAGCAATATGATTTACATCCTCCTGCTGCACCATTTTACGTGGACCTCCTCGACGGGGTCTTCTGCTCACGGTACCAATAGTTGTATACCGTTTCCAAATGGAGGAAATACAATTAACACTGATGCCCAATTTTTTTGAGACCAGTTGACGTAGACCTCTCGGTAAATGAAGATTAGAAACATTTGCCCCTCCTTCCACCAGATTTTCTATTACAATCCTCCTTAAGTCCTCACTCAGTTCCTTGGCAATTACATACACTCTTCCTAATTTATTTCTTTTTTCCATGACGAATTCTATTTTTGAAATAAAAAAAATACTGTGCAATAATAAAAAATGGTTTTCTTGTAATAACGATACAATATTGTAGATACAAATAAATAAGATTAGAAAAGTTACATCTGTAAATATGTTTACGTAAAAGGGGGGGGTCAAAATCATTGAAAGGGGGGGTTCAGTAATTTGAAGGTGCCTGCATTTCACAAACTCCTCCGACCTTTATTTCTTACTTTTACATACTAGTATTAACTACTGATATAATTTATAGAAATATTAAGATCTTTATACGTTTACATACCTGTTTATTTTTTATGGGTGAGTACCTTTTTCATGCTTGCTTTGCTCGGATTCAGCAAGACAAACGAGGTCAGATATTATGTAACCTTTGCTAGTTTTAACAATAAGTGTTAGTGTGGAGAAGACTGTATGACAGAGAGGAAAGAAAACTAGAACGTGATAATTATGGCGGTGTTTGAAGAAAGTGTTCGAGAAGTATTCTTGAAAATACATCATGAATGTTGCGGAGTTAAACGTGTGTCTCCTTTGTTGGTAGAATTTTCGGAACTTAATTCGTTAATTGGATTAAAGAGTGCCATTTATTCCGAGATAAAATCTATTGATCTTATGTCTGCACCTATGTTATCATACCGCGATGAAGAGGGGGATTACGTCGATTTGACAGAAAAACATTATAATAGATTTTTGAAATTTGTCTCATCAACCGATTCAAATATAAATATTAAAGTGATAGAAGGAGTTCCTGAGCCATCCATGCATAAAACATCTAATAGTGTGTCTGAGACCCAGTTATTCGTGCAGGAAAAGGCCCCGGATATATTTCAAAATTTCACATATCAAACACCCATTGAACATTCAATGACTAATCTAAAACAAGAAATTTTGGAGCTTGAAGTCCAAAGCGAAAGTGCTTTGGAGCATTTACAAAATTTGAGAGACAAATTTTGTGGGAATATAACTCCCGGTTTTGGAAAACAATGTTCCAACTGCCATTTGAAATTAGAACATAACTCAAGACAGTGCCGACTAGAGAAATGCATCTCTAGTCAGCAGTGTGGAGATGTAAATAAACATCAGGATGAAAAAGCCCTGGTTGAATCGGCTAATGATGTGTTGAAAAAAATACAAAAGGAACTTAAATCAAAAACTGTAGAATATGAAACAAAGTTCAAAGCGTCCGAATCTGTTAAAAACTCATTTTCCGAAAAAATTAGATGCCATTTAATCAACAGTAACAAGCAAAAGTATCTACTAAAAGTTTCAGATGGAAGTTTTCTTCCTCGCTCAGGAATCGTTAATTGTGACATATCAAAGCTTGAAAAGTACTACCACGGAAAGTGTCCCGATAACTTGGACGTTGCATCCAATTTTTTTGGAAATATTATCTCAAGTTTTGATAAAGAGCACGAAAATAAATTTTCGACAAACAGCAATGGAACTAATTCAGCTAAGCGTATCCTAGAAGAAAACACCATTTTTCCTGTCAAGTTCCCGAGGCGTGTCCCGGTTTCAACTCATCCTAATCCAGATAGCTGTTATCAAAACAAAGGTATGTGTTTTAAT